GGAAATGGAGAGGGAAATTAAAAGGAAGTAGAAGTAATAGGAAAAGGAGGAAAGAGGGAAGGGAAGGGAAGGGAAGGAATAGAAACAAAGGACAAAGAACAAGGAAATGAAAAGGAGGGAGAAGTCAAAGAAAGAAGAAGTAAAAGGAAGGGATGGAAAGCAAAATAAACAAATGGAAAAAAGGACACAAAGAACGGAAGTAAAAGAAAAAGACAGCAAAAAAGACAAAAAGAAAAAGGGAGAAAAGGAAATAAATGGACAAAGGATAATTAGAAAAAGAAAAGAATGAAAGGAAAAGGAAAAGGAAACACCTTCATCAGACTAAGTAACAATGTCCACACTCACCTAATTATTGTTTTTGCAGTGTAAATTCTAAACTCACTTATTTTGCTCCACTTGAAAGAAGTGAAAAATCAGAAACAGAGCAGAAGAGAAAAATAACAAAATGAAAGATAGAGGCTGAATGTGTGATTAAACTGCAGGGAGAAGGGATCTTCGCTGAGGGGGAATGGAAGAGAAGCTCCATTAGATTTTAATGGGAGGAGCCATGACCTGCAGCACCACCTTATAGCAGGTCAGGAGAAGGGTTAGCCCTCCAGGGTCAGAAGAATCATGGGAAATAAGGTTTTTAGAGGTCACTGGTTAATGCGTTTATTGCTCCCTCACTTCAACTTCTATACTAACCTTCAACAGGCATAAACATGTGATGGGAAAACAGGGAATTGTGAGACCAGGCTGGTGAAAGATCAGGTGGGCATCACAACTTGCGGTTTTTGTGCAGGCCCAGCGTGCTGCTCACCTTCTTTCAGCAAGCTCTACATGCTAAGTGAGAACATTGTTCCGGTCAATTTGTTCCTTTCAGAGCCCCAGTGGGCAGTGTCCTTTAGCCTGACAGCACACTGAGAGAAAGCACTCTGTCTGGAAGGGTCTGACATCAAGACAAGAGTGAGGGAGAGACAGAAAGCCATAGGGAGAGAAAGAAAGAGCAAGCGCTGTGCCAAAAAGGGAGGGACGACGAAAGGGACGGTTTGAGATATGGAGAAATTGAGGGCTGACAAAAGGAAAAAAGAAAAGGGAAGGAAACCGGGCGACAGTAAAAGACCGATAAAGAGGACACAAATGACATGGAGGGAGTTAAGGGGCCCTGCATTGGGGAGTGCGAGTGAACGGCTCCCCTCCGAGAAAGGACCGCCCTACAAAGGGGCCGTGGGGGGGTTAAGCAGCCGCAGGTGATGCAAAACCCCAAGGGCAACTGCGAGCGTGCATGTGTGCTTGACCGTGCATGTGCCCCCTGTGCCCACAGCACCTGTTCCCTCGGCACACTGGCCTCAACACTTGCACTGAGGGGTGAAGTGCGGCTGTTGGGGGGAAAGGGCTAACTTGAACAGGGCACCTATTCAAGAAAACTTGGAACACCCTCTCTATTTCCCTTCATCCTCCTCTTCTAATCCCTCCCAATCACATTTTTGAATATCCTTCGAATTACATCCCAGTAAAATCAGCAGGATGTTTGCTCGAGCTCACTGCATGTTGGGAAAGTTGCACATCTCAACCTAAGGCTGGTAATAAAACAGCTATGTGTTTGCTGTGGATTAGAACGGCTCCGCTGAACAGCCTGTTAAGATGTAAAGTTTATTAAAGACATACAAAAAAAACAACGGCAGCAGAAGAATTGAAGTTGTTGAGAACAAGAACAGAAACATAACTGGGTCAATAACATGACTAACTTTTTGTCCTATCGGTTTATTCAAAAATACATTAAAAATTCTTCTCCCACACATACAACCACTTGAATACACCTATTTTATAATAAGCAAGTTTTTAATTTCTGAATGAAAAAAAATAATTTTGTTGAACTTATGATTCCTTTTTTGGGGGCATACAGGCTAAAATGTTAGGGTGAAATTCTATAAAATAAAAAAATCTCCATTGGAAAATAATTAGAAAATATTCCAAATATTATATTACTATTTCTTTGAAAAAAAAATCTTGTGGTCCAACCAACTTGCAGAAAGAAAAAAACAACAACATTTAACAGGAAATTATTTCATAGACTATGTGGCAAGGTCGATAAGAAGTCAATTTCAAATGTATATACTTTAATTTATTTATTAAAATTCCAACCACCTTTAAAAGAATATTTAAAAACTTTTTTGGAAAGTAATGGATGTGTACCCTCACATGTATTGTACGGAATCATCTTTTTTTTTTCTACTTAATGGTTATACCACTTGACATTATCAAACGGAAGCTTTTCTTGAAAATAGTATCAAAGTGTTTTTAAGTTTTTAAATGCATACAAAGAGCACACTTCTAAGAACCTGCTGAACTGAAATGTTTTAAACTAGATTTTTAAAGATCATGGGCACTCTTATACATCATTGACCCAACTACAGAGCAAGTGACTGCTTCATTTCTTGCTCATAAAAAAACTGTGCAGCGCAACAATTGAAGTTAAAAAGGGAACACTGAAACCAATCTATTCCGAGTTGTACACTTCCTGTGCACTTCACACATTGTGTGCTGTGGTGCTAATGATAATTTAGTGTGTAATGAGCGGTTTTGTATGTGTGCTCAAAGAGGTCAATGGAACTCTCACACAAATGCCACCCTCAGTCATGAATCATGGGCCTCAGGGACTGTCGAAATGAAAAAAATGTGAGCGCTTAAACTGGACTGAAACCAAACAAAGAAGATGGATGATGATAACCCAATTAACAATGCAAAAACTGAACAGCTCTAATGACTGTTATCGTGCTTGAGACCTTTAGTCATGTAGACAGTGAGAAAATTGAGTTTTTGCCTCAAAAGAACAATTCCTGTCCAATAAGCCAGAGTTGTTGGTGGAGAAAGCAGGCTGCTATCCTATCCACATCTTACCTTTCCTTCACTAACGGACATTGTCTCCACTTTTCAACTCCTTTCTCATCTGCTCTCTCTCCCGGGTTTTTTAAAAAGCTCTCACCCTTAGGGACTTCACTCCTTCTTTCTCTTTTTCCAGTCCACAAACCTTAAAGGATAACAAAAGACAGCGCAATGGCTATTTGAATTTGAAACAGGGAGACTATGACAAAAACCGTGTCTCACAGCAAAGCAGCAGACGGACCGGTGCTGAAGAACCAGCCATTCATGAAAATTCACCCTCATTTTGAGAAAGGAAGATAAAAAAATACTATTCTGACACAATGCGACCCATTTAGTTGGTGGAAAATGAACAGCTGTTAAATGGGTGTATGGTCAAACACCTGGATGATATGGCAAGTAAAACAAACACGCATAAACACCAACCACACTCTCTTAGATTCAAGGTGCCTATCAAGAACTGTATTCGACTGTAAATGAGCTATGTGGTTCTTTGTAGACTAAAAGAGCTCTTGATGTTTTATTATAGGGTTTTCAGATCAGTGTGCTGGTGTGTGGGTTCTAAAAGCTCATAGAGAAAGAACATAGGCTTCCTAAAGAACTACAGATTAAATAGCTCTCTGTGAAACTTAAATAGGTCCTGCTATGAAATCTGACAGTAATATCCTTCTGGTTGTAATTGGAACCTTTATTTTTAAGAGTGCAGCTCTAAATGTCAGTTCATGAGAAACAGGGTGAATGAGGAAAGAACAATGAAACCTAGATTTACGTTCCATTTAACAGCTACCGTTCACAGTTTTTACAACTGGTTTTAGTCATAATTGCATTTCTAAATATAGTGCATTTTTAAAAGTCTTCAAACAGTCAGCACAACAGAAAAGCCTGCAGACTAAACTATAAATCATTTTGTTACTGCATTCAATGACCACATCATTCAAAATTCATGAAATCTTTTCTCACTCAGACAACCACGATATGAGTCTACACATTCTCAAAACTGTCTCAAAAATATTCACAAGTTGCAAGAACAAGAGCAAGTTCAAGAATCTGCTATCTTTTTGTACAGAAAGGAAAAACAGGCCAACCACATGATTTCCCTTTGAGCTGACAACATTTTGCTGTCAATTTTGCTATCATCAATTCAAAAGAGCCCATCTTTGAAATGTCATGTAAACATTTTTCTAGGATCAACACAGAAGGCATTCAGAGTGATATAGATGCATTATGTTTCCATATTGGTGCCAGTCTATTGGATTAAAGGTGGATGTGTTGCACAGATATGCGCAGATGCTTGTTTTTGTTTTACAGTATCAGAGCTACATTTTTTTAGTGGAATTACCACATGCAAAAAGTAAGGCATGCTGAAGCATAAAATTTGTGTGTTTTTTTCTTGTACTGCTGCATGCAACAAAGTGTCGTTCTTGTTTTACAAAAGACTCCTGGTTTCTGTTTTTTAAAAAAAGACCTTGAAATTCTCAGTGTTTTGATGAGTGTGAATGTTAGTCAGGTTATGGCAGAATGAGTTCATTTGTTTAGGGGATTTAAGTGCATTTGAGATCAAGTTACAAAAGAAAACTGTGTGAAGAGTTTGGAGAAAGTACACTCAGTTTTGAGAAATGCACTTATCCACTTGTAAAAGACTGCACAAACGCAGTCGACCTGAGAGCAAAAAGCTACATTAAAATAATAAATCGAGGCATACAAGAGAAATACAATTTTAAGACTAGCATTTGCTAAAATAAATGTCATAACTTAGAACTCAAACTAATTGTAATAATGATCAAATATGCTGCAAGTAAAGTGATATTACTGTCAACACAAATCTTTTCAAGACAATTACTGTAAAATGTGAACAACTGTTAATAATTAATTTCTATTCCTCCATCCGTATGCTTCAACACCTCGAATTTCATGGACAAGATCAAATCAGAACAACCAACAATTCTCTAAATCATGTCTGAATATAAAAATCACAACAATATTCTAAGACTAATATCCTTATATGTAAAAACAGTACAATTCAGGGGCGCTCGCCGAACCAAGCCCATCATCGCAATAGTGAGATGGAGAGGAAAACCCCGCAACAACTTCTTCAATACAGAACAGAAGCTTATAATTTGGTAAACCAGCACACTTACCGAGCAGCCGCGGGAAACGGTGAGCCCGGTTCTCTGTGAATGACTCGCCTCCTCGGGACTATAATCCAGAATGACTGAGAGGAAAAGAGAAGAGAGGAGAGGAGGGGAGAGGAGGGGTCCGCGTGAAATCTACTGCTCTCTATCGCACCTGTCTCTGTGCAGATCTGATCCCTGATCTGACATCCTTAAGACAACTGTTTCCAAACCCCCAACAACTAACCCCCGCCCCAACGTACACAACGACACCTGTCCCCGGGTAAAAAACACCGCGCAACAAAGCTCGTTTATGCTACTCGTGAACAAATGGCAACCCTGGCTTGGTCCTGCAGCCGATGTAGGCTATTCCCCTTCGGACAGCCATCCAGTATCCAAGAAGTTGTTTGCTATAAGCGGGGATAAACTGCCTTATGTCTAACAAATGATGGCAAAAACAGTCCACGCCAGCGCAACCAGCTGTGCCTTATGAAAACGTGTCTGTCTGGGCTGAAAACACTTGCCTTATCAATCAACTACCGCTACAGTAGTTCTTCAGTGCTGCGCCAGTAGAATGTACACGCTCCTGAGCGCGTGGACAAAAAGGCAAGTTCGTTTGTTTGGTGCGCGCGTCGCTGCCTATGATTTGAGTCCAGCCTCTAGACTCCCGTTAACGCCAGCGCAACCAGCTGTGCCTTATGAAAACGTGTCTGTCTGGGCTTAAAACACTTGCCTTATCAATCAACTACCGCTACAGTAGTTCTTCAGTGCTGCGCCAGTAGAATGTACACGCTCCTGAGCGCGTGGACAAAAGGCACGTTCGTTTGTTTGGTGCGCGCGTCGCTGCCTATGATTTGAGTCCAGCCTCTAGACTCCCGTTACAGGAAACTCTTATTGTCTGGCAGAAACGTAATATTTCCAGCAATCCCTGGCGTGTAGCCCGCGGCGTTTGGTCTGAGAGAGAAAGATCACGCGTTTGCTATCTCAGCGCTGTTGTAAGTCTGTCACCCACAGCTATTCAAACGCAAGTCAATGCCAAAACCTGACGCAGAATAGAGCTGCGGACTGGAGCGGAATTAATTTGTTGTTAATCACTTGGGGTTAGGAAATAAATCAGCGATACTTGGATGAGGGGATTAGTCTTGGTTTAGAAGCGCAAGTGGCAACGTAAGTGAATTTAATTTAGAGACCAAGAGAGCGAGCGAGCGAGCTTGAAAAGCATCAAAATAAAGTCATCTTTTGACTGCAGAGGCAGTTTAAAATATAAGGTTTAAATATGAATATACAAACATGAAATATTAATAATAAAAATACCAATAGCCTACATTATAAATGAGAAATGAGAATACATATTCTATCGTGACAATGAAAAAGTTGAAGGCTAGAAACATATTTTACGCAATTAAAGGGGTCATATGATGTTGCTAAAAAGAACATTATTTTGTGTATTTGGTGTAATGAAATGTGTTTATGCGGTTTAAGGTGCAAAAAACACATTATTTTCCACATACTGTACATTATTGTTTCTCCTCTATGCCCCGCCTTTCTGAAACGCGTCGATTTTTACAGAGCTCATCGGTCTGAAAAGCGAGGTGTGCTCTGATTGGCCAACTATCCAGTGCGTTGTAATTGGCCGAATACCTCAAGCGTGTGACGGAAATGTTACGCCCCTTACCATACTGTGATGGCGTGTCCCGGCCGGAGTGATGAGACAAAAACATTAAAACCCATTATAAACGAGGCATTTGTTGCATCCAGTGGGGACATAATTACGGATTATAATGAAAGTAATTTCGCTTTCACAACGAAACGCACAGCGTCACACATGGCGGGCTAGGGTGAGCGGAGGCCGGCTTGAGTGAGCGGCCGGTGGGCTTGAGTAAGGAACGGCCGGCAGGCTTGAGAACTGCGCGGCCGGCGGATTCAACGAAGGAGCGGCCGGCGGGCTTGTGGCAACCACATGTGACGACCCCGGGCTGGACTCCACTTTGTCGCGAGAATAAAAGTTACGCCTCCTTTCTTTGCGTGAACATTTGGGCGGCGTTATGCAAATCTTCCCACATTGTGACGTAGACATGTGGGGGCGTGTTAGAATGAGCCGTTTTAGGTAGGCGTGGTTGACTCTTAACTTTTATAAAGAATATCTCTTTGGATTTGAGACTTTAGTCTTTGCAACTTTACAGATCTTCTTTATGCACCAAGAGCTCGTAACACTCCAAAGAAAAAGGAAAAATTGTAATCGCATCATATGACCCCTTTAAGCAAACCAAAGCAATGTCCCATTTTAAAGTCACCATTAAATCAAAATTGACAATTTTATTTTATTTTATTTATTATTTTTTTAATGGAATACTGCAGTTTTTATTATAGATGATTCCTCTGTGCACATCATTATTTTTTAAAAATGTACGTGCCTTCGTAATCAAAATTTCTCTCTTCCTAGCAATCACATTTCTTCTCTGATGATGTGTGCACTGCCATGAGGGCGGGACAATAATACAATCCCACCCTTCCAGCAACCTGTCCAGTCAATTCCCGATTGCCCTTTTTTTCTCGTTTAAGATGCCGTTTCAATTGAATTCACATAGACATGTGCACCAAAGGACGTTAAGTATGATGATAAATAACTATAAATTCCATTTTATTAATTGTTCTAATTCTTTGACAATATGGCACTCCACACCACAATTACAATGAAAGCGCCACAAAGGAAAAATATCGTGAGAATAGCTTTCAGAATGAATTCCACCTGATGAACAATAAGAACATTGACAGCCAATCAGAATCCACTCGACAGTACACCTGCTATATGAATTACAGTCTGACATACTTTGGAAAGCGACAACGAATACAAGCATTTGGGTTCACATATTTGCATAAAGTAGGCTATGTTTCATAGTACATAGCTGCAATAGAGCCTTCTTTTTAGTGTTTGAGGGCTGCCATATTTTTATATTTTAGTACAGCTTTATGCTGCATTGTCTTTACACTGAATTTGAAGCAAGTACACGTAAAGATGGCTTAAACACTCAAGATGATAATCTTTTTCTTTCTGTTATGCACATATCAGGGGACCTAAAAGCGACAGAATGATAAATAATAGCCTGTATCAAAATCCAGTCAATTAAAACACTCCGCTATATTATATTCCTTTCTGTGGCTTTTTGGAGCCACTGGGACGCACACATTTACAATTTCATATTATCTCAACTGAACTGAAACTGATTAAAAAAAAAAAAAAAAAGTATTTAAAAAATGTGTATACAGGTGAGATTTTCATAAGACAGTTAGGGAGGGTAATAATAACAAAGCTCTCTTCCTGTCTCTTCTTCTTTTCCTCATTCCTCTATCTGTGATCATACTCAAGTTATAGTAAGGAGTCCAGACAATAATAGATGAGTCGGCTCAGTGCAAACAGTAAAGCGTTATTCAAGAGTTAGTGACTTCATCAGCTGAAGATGCCTTGGGCATTTACATGAATGACAAGACTGACATTATCAGACAGATAATAAACACACCTGAAAAGTCCCTCTTAATGAACTCGTGCATTTCTTCAACATGACTGAAACAAATTGTTTACGCATAGAAAAAGAAAACATCTGTGTGTGGTTTATGTATATCATACATGATTTAGAGTAAAGACAGCATAAGAACCATTGTGACAATTCAGGTCCTTGCACACAAAGTCAGTATGATTTGCTGCTGTCACAGTTGGGGTAATTGAGGTGGCTGAGCCCCAATGGTTCACAATTACCCAGTACGATTTTCCTTATTGTGATCTTTTAATAAAAAGTATCAAATTAGGCCAAAGAAACTTTGAGGGAAACATCTCTCTTTGTTCACTTCTCCACATTTGATGTGAAGTAAAGCTCTCGCAAGAGAGCGATATGGAACTGACAACAAATAAATAAACAAAAGAGAAGCACAGTTTTGTTCTTCCTGGCTTTCATCCCACACTACTGCTCTGAAACTGAGCATTTGCTTCAAACCCAGGCCACAAAACCATGTTGGGAACATGAAATGAGGCAGTTTATCAGAGACAAAGGACTTTGAAGAGCAACATTTTGTAGCTTTTACTCATGCTAGAGAAGCAGCCAAAGATCACCCTGAATCAGCACAGTGCTAACTCTGAAACAGTCGTCATTCTTAGTCGCAATGCTAAAATAATGTTCCTGTCTTCTGCTCCCGACTAACGCTGGTTGCCAGGTGCATACATGGGTGATTTGGCGAGATAAGAACAGTGAGGTCAACATTACGCCACATTATGAGGTGCAATGTGACATCTCTGGGTAATGACATATATTGTAGCATTGCATGTGATCAAGCACAATCGAATTACTTGCAGTCACAAGCCAACCATCATGTCTCCATTTCCTTGTGATTTGATTGCAGGTCCTGATAGCAGCCAGCGAATTGCCGTGCAGTTTATTCCATGTTCATATCCATTATTATTAGAGATATCTAGGTTTTTAATGGCATGGGATACTTCAGTTTCGGCCCATTGCTTCAAATACACAGTGGCTTTACAGTAGCTTTGCTTTTGTTCTTGCAGTAACAAGATTTCACTCCATAATTCTATATCGTAAAGCACCATATAGATCATTGTGCTGGCTTGAAGCCAAACAGCCTAATGTTCTACATATTCTGTCTAAAAGCTCCAAAGTCTTATTTTTTCATGAGCAGAAAACCATGCAACAAGTGCCAAATGCAACAATAAGTTGAGCCCTAGGTGACTTTTGTCAGCCACCCAAATCCAAGCCTCTTTCTTTACTGTTTTTGCTATAATCGCAAGCACATGTACAAATCGAATCAACAGCCATTATTACTTGCATCTCAATAAACATACTCTCCATGGAGTCTTGACTCAACGTTCGTGAATGCAAATGCAATTACAGGTCATTTGAACTTGGTAGATGTCCAGTGCTGATAAAAATGGAGCTGGTTTGGACCAGTCTTACAATCTATTGTGCTGAGAGGGGAGTTTGGTAGCTGGGTCAATGACATTTTGTGCTCTTTTTTTGTGGTCTTATCTATTCATTTATTCAGTAATACATTAAAATGCAATTCATACATACAATGACTAGAACACGCCTCTTCTATGATAAGGATTTTTTTATGGATGGCATAAAAATCGAAAATGTCAGGGTAATACAACAGTGATATCATAATTAAGAAAAAGACCTGATTAAAAGAATGAAATTCTTGAAAAAAAAAATCTTAAGTAGTTTGGCATAACAAAACTGCTTATTAAATTTTTGAAAAACTTTTGTCTTCTGAATCAAAGTCGTGTGGTTTAATAAACTTGAATAAACATGCAGGGGGAAATCATAAAACAGAAAATGATATCAGAGAGGACTCCTGCGGACCATCATGACTATGCTTCAAGGTCAATAAGATTATTAAAATGTATTAAAATGATAATGGGACCCATTTATGACAAAGCAAGATTAATTCAGGTTGTAAAAATCTCATGCAGAGTGACACCCCAAATACAACAATAATAAAAAGTAAATATCTTTTTTTTTTTTTAAATCTAGTTGTGTAATCTAATCTACACGTGGCAAGTTCTTAGAAATGTACTTTTTGTGTTCATGCTGGTTTCATACGTTTTCCTTGTCTATTTTCATTTTATTGTCTATTTTCAATTTAAA